TATATATATCATCTTAATGTGCTATTTGTATATTAGTCTTAATATTGTGATTGCTTAATTTTTTAATATTACACAAGGTCGTGGACATGCTAAAATCCTATGAAATAAATACAAAAAGTGACTGGGCCCTTTTTTCATCACTTTTATCTCTGTCACCGTAGTGAAAAACACCAATATTTATGAATGATAWATTGTGTTGATAAGTTTTAGCATGAGTTGCAATAATACTGATAAGCCACGCTTCTCAATGGAAAAAAAGATAAATAAACATTTTCTCATATATTACAAGTTAATTAATTTTGCCTTGTCRCAAAGCAAATAAGACCAACCAAGGGATGGCATGGTTGACCTTGTTACAGGAAAGAAAATGGAACTGTCTTTATTTTTTTACCCTGCAGTCATCCAGTAGGACACAGATTTTTCTCCCCCCAGAAAAAAATCTGCAGGCATATACAGTGAACCATTAAAAACACATAATCCATAAATCAGTGCAGCAATAAAGGTTTCATGCCATCTTTACAGCCTTTTCCTAATCACTCTTCTTCCTTCCCTTGGGCACTCTGCAAATAGTCTGCAATCCCTGCTGTGGTTCTCTTCTGACTGCTAACTCAATTCCGCATCCCAAGGCTCCCCATGTCTCAGAAGACAGGAAGTACCACTGAAGGTGCCCTTAGCTCTCGGGAGAGAAATGTATTATGTGGAAAATCTATAAAGACTTCGAAGATGGAAGTGGGGGAGGTCGTCCTGTGTTTCATATCAGCAGCAGGTGACGCCTGTTAGTAGGAGATGAGATCTTTTCTTTACACTCAAAGTCAGTGCTGTGCGAGCAACGATAGCAGGATGATTCTCGGAACACCTCCCCTCCACTTTTCTCTCTCTCCCACTCTCTGTGCACACCGGCCATGCCTTTATTGCTCGTCATTCGTTTTGTGTGTCACGTCTCTGTGTTTCCTGCAGGAATCTTTTGCTTTCATCTTGCTTGCTGACCAGTGGCAACTCCTGAGCATAAATTTTAGTGTGGAGGACAATCATTTCCTGAATCAGTAACTGCACAAGTTTTACAATCTRTGTTACAATTTCTGTGAAAGGAAGAAAGGATTTATGTTGCTCAACATATTTGTCGCTTTTCTGTGCCCAAARTTGTTGCCTTTTCTCTTCCTCTCCCAGGATTTGTCTCGTGAAAACTGTCAGGTCTAATAATTAAACCAGAGGTAGACACTTCCCGCCCTCACGTGCACCCCCACCCCTATACAGAAGTATATTTAATAAAACACGAACATATCTTTCTGGTCTGAATTTCTGATTTGATTTAAAGTAATAATTCTACAATGATATATTCAAAATGATATTAAATGATGAGGAAAAACCTACTTCTGTGTAATAAAAGATTCAAAACTAGAGACGTGGCACAACAGCCCATTATCCATGTGCACACGTGTTTTCTCCAGGTACTCCAGTTTCCTCCCTCAGAACAAAAACATGCATGTTAACTTTAAATTGTCTCAGGTGTGAGTAAGAATGTGAATGGTTGTTTATCTCATTGTTCTTTATGCGGTCCTGACTTGTGATCTGTCCAGGGTGTACCCTGCCTATCACATAGTGACTGCTGGAGTCTGCTGGACACCAGCTCCATGCAGCCGGATGGATGGATGGATGGATGGATGGATGGATGGATGGATGGATGGATGGATGGATGGATGGATGGATGGATGGATGGACAGACGGATGGATGGACGGATGGACAAACCTGAAGAAGAGGTATGTGCATATATTCACACTTTTGCTTTATAGTAGGGCTATTCAACTKGTGGCTCGCGGACCCAATGTCTTCCATCTGCCAATGACAGATGAYATTGTAAACAACTATCTGAGACATCAATTAGTAAGACTGGTGTTGTAAAAGTTTTACTGAGATTTTATTTAATCCAGTAAAGACACTTGATGAGCAAAGGTGTGTAAAACTGAACAACCTCTCATTGGTTTATGCAGCTCTTTCTTCCAGTTACATTGATTTAAAGGGGAGGTATGCATTTCCAGGCATGTAATTAAATTCTATACCACAATAAAGTAACTTTGTCAACTTTGGTTCAGGGCGGATGTGGTGGAGTGGTTAGGGGAGTTGTCCTGTAACCGGTAAGTTGCTGGTTCAGTCCCCAGTTCTAAGACACTTCACCCACCTTGCCTGCTGATGGTGGTCAGAYGGTCCAGCAGTGCCGGTGCCTCTCAGTGTGGCCCAGGGCAGCTGTGGCTGTAGCTTACCACCGTACACAATGTATGTGAAGGACTGAAGTGTAAAGTACTTTGGAGTCCATATGGATGTGATATGATCATGGGAGTAAGAAAAGTAGAGTAACTATAGGAGCATCCAAAAAAATCACGTAAAAAATAGTTTTCAAAGCTCTAAGCAGCCACACATTATCACTATCAATTTCCCCAATTTGTGTTGATGCATCCTGTTTTAATAACAGATATTTCAAAGTAAAAGACTATGAATCATTTGAAAATGATTTTTACTTTTCTGTTAAGCACTTTATTCGTGTCTGAGAAAGGTGCTATATAAATACATTTTACTCACATACTTTACACTTTACACTTATTGCATCAATCACTCTACCTCTTCATCTGGCCATGATAAATTTGTTTATAAAATGCATTAAAAGTGCTGAAATTGCCCTATGTTGATGCTTCACAAATTAAACATATGTTTCACAAATTACGGTTGTACATATTCTGTCATCAGTGTAGAATAATCTAGTCTTTGAAGTGTTTGTGTGTTTTAATTTTTAACTAGAGCAGATTAAACATGCTCAAGGTACTGAAAACATGGGTGGAATCACCCTTTTGCCATTCATAAAAACTTTAGGGTTTCTTTTTATTTTTCTGACGAATTTAAGTATTTCTCTTGTGAAAATTTTTTGTTCAAAGATTGCAAATTTTTGCCTTTAATCACAATAACTTCTGTTTTTCTTTCAAAGCACAGGGAATTTCTGAATTTACTATAAAAGCAATTTAGCTTAAAGTTTAGTTTAAAAAGGGCACATGTAAGTGTTATCCTCACCTTTGTTTACATTTAAACTTTAAACTTTAATCTAAACTGAGGCAACACATGCATGAACAGTAGATCTGCACATGGAACCAGCTTCTATTGACCAATAATAAAGGGACTGACCCAGGAAGGGCATGCCACCCTATTTGCATAATGAGCAGAAATGCATGAATAAAAACAGGAGACATAGAAATGCAAAACAATAACATATAAAAATATAAAAAGACTTGTGGGGAAAAGTATAAAAAATATTAAATATGAACATTTAAGAGACACAAGTGTACAAG